TGTGTCTGTTTATTCGATTGTACGCGCAACGACTCCCACCATGGGTACGAAATTGGTTAACGCACTCCCAAAACACGTCTTGCTCTCCGCGCCTAACACGGCCATCGTGGTTGGGAATCGAACTCGATTGTGACCTCGGGTCAGTAGAATAATTACCGTGACAGGTATGAAATCAAATATCCAAACGACTTGCTAACTAATCAAGAATCCTCTATTTCTTTTTCATAATAACTCGCTAGAGGAGGGAAATGCTAATCGCTTTCTGTAACAATGTCAATATGCGAATGATAACTGCGACACGATATAAGTGAGGTAGACTAAGCAACGGTTATAACGTGCTTGTTTTCAGTGCGAGTTGCCTCTTCGTTAAACACAGCTTAGTTGCATCACAGAACACCTGCATACTACCATTTGGTTGCATCGTTGTTACGCTTATTTGAATGTCGCCGCAACGGCAGCTCAGCAACTCTGCCAGGTGACCGGCGCCAAGTGCTGCCCTCTGGATAGACGACGCAGAACAAGGTAACCAGTTCTTGCTCTTTGGCAGAAGGTGGCGGCAAAGCTCCGTGCTTGCAGGGGTCGTAGGTGTTCTGTGGGGTCGTGGCATGCATAAGTGCGGCCGCGACGGTAAGCGAAAGATTGAAAAGGAATGCGGAATAAACTTCTCTCAGTGCACTCTACATTGCTAGGCTATTCAGAAAAAGCCTTCGCCGCGCCGCCGGTGATACGCGCGTCGCGATAACGCTTAGCTCAGCGCTGTTTTACTACATGTCGTCCTAAATGTGGTTGCAGCGAGTAAGTGCGCACCCACGAAGAATAAATAAAGAATGAAATAAATAAATCTAGTAGATAAGAACAGGCATGCAGGGGCGGTGAATCGTGCATGCGACATACACGGGCCATCATCATACACGCGAAGAGCTCCATGAGAAAGTTTACTAAAAAGGGCAGAAATATTATATGGTGTAGCGTGACAAAGGCAATGGAAAAGGGTTCACATGTGCCTTACAAATTCTGCCTGTACACACGACTTCTGGCACGTATCGCTTGCGTAGATCAACCACTTTCATCTGACGGCTGAGCCACAGCACTGCGCTCGTCGCTCGCAAGTGAGAAGCCATCGCGTCATGCGCTTCGTCACGTCAAAAATATCGGAAAAAGAAGCCAATGGCACAGAAGAAACGAACTAGAAGATTATAATATACAGTAAACCAGTTTACGCCGGCATTCAAGTATACATGTGTCTATGACACTAGTTATATGTGGGGTTTAACGTCGCAAAACCGTCATGTGATTATGAGAGACGCCGCAGTGAAGGGTTCCGGAAATTTCGTTCGACCACCTGGGGTTCTTTAACGTGCAACCAAATCTGAGCACGCGGACCTACATCATTTTCGCCTCCATCGGAAATGCAGCCGCCGCAGCCGGTATTCAATCCCGCGACCTACAAGTCAGCAGCCAAGTACCTTAGCCACTAGATCAACGCGGCGGGGCCTGTGTCTATGACACTCCTGAATGCGCAAATCTAGAAGCAGGTGCTGAGGGAAGTATATATAGTATATGCGTTGCGGTGATCAGCTGTATATTGACGCCTAGGTCTGCAGGCCTAAGACATTTAAAAAAAGTGACAAGTATAGACCCTTTCAGTGTTTACAAACACCTGCCCTTGATGACATTTGGTTTTATTCACCGATGTGCCTTAATAGCATCGGTGGACAACAAGAGCTTTAGAAAATAGCCCGCTGATTTTCTACAGTTTCCTTCCCTTATTTGACAAAATATATTCAAATAAATGTTCATTGAGCTACATAAAATTATAAAAGATTCCTTTGTACTTTACGCACGTTTCTCTTAATGGAAAATTGAGAGACTTTCCTTACCCTTGAAGATAACTTGAAAACATGCTTTCAGTTTCGACGTTGGGGGCTGGTAAATGAGGTGACCGGAAGTTTTTTTTTTTTTTTTTTTTGGTACAACGCTTGCAACATTGAAACCCTCTATACTTTCACGCAGAAGCCGCTGACGCGAAACCCATCGAATGTGTGGTAGGAGTCGCCACTATGCACGCTATTGAGAAAGTTCCGGAAAAAGAGAACATGAAAAAAAAAAAACTCCCAAGCATTTCCCCGAGGGTGAACATGGTTAAGTGCGAATACACGGGGTGATGCTATGAGGGGTATTTATTAATTCGCACTATTATATTTATTAATCACATTATGGTGCCTTTATGGTGTAATGGTTCCTGGGAATCGCAATTTGATCACACGGGGGAGTTTACGTTAACTCACTGGCGAATGCCAACGGATTTTAACTTTACTCCCCCTGACGACCCGCTCTCGACGGGAGACTGAGAGAGAAGGCGAGCGCGCGAGAGAGAGGGGTGCGCGCGCAAAACATGATAATCATGACATGAAAGTCATAAACGGCATGATTTGCGTCCGCCTCGTAACATTGTGCTGATTTTAAACCGACATATCAACCTTTTTCATTCGTGCTTGGCATATAATCGATTCGGATGTGGCGATTTTTGACAAAATAGGGAGATTACTGCGATGAACTTTCGCCTTTCCCTTGCCCCTCCCTCCACCGAAGGAAAACCCTGCACACAGACTGCTTTTACAGTAATCCTACCCCTGGTGATAGCCGTGTGGGCCTCAACTGGAGATCTGGCGTTAAGCGCTTAGAAGTTAAGGAACGTATATGGGTTCACCGAATACTCCAACGTCACTTTACAAAGGCGTATCGTCACTTTACGAGGCAATCAGGGTTCAGGATTCTGTTGTAGCTGAATAGTGCTCAGTAATGAATTCATGCAAAGGAACTCATTTTAAAAAACTCATTGTTACACATCGCAAGAAGCATGCATTAACAAACACCTTAAAAGCAAGAAAATGCCGGGAACTTCTTCGTGCTGGTGGGTCCCGCGTGTTTAAGCACATTTTCGAGTCTTCCCGTAAACGCTCAAGTTTCAGCCGCTTACTCGTGCTTGGCCTCGATCAGAGTGAGCTTATCGAGAAGGTGAAGGGGAAGTACAAATGCCCACTAAAGCGCGGATTTACGTAATGCGAAGACAAGAAGTTGATCCCGAAGAAGTCTGTGCACTCGAAATAAGACAATGACGAGACGGACATTCTCGTGAATTAGTGTTACTGGATTTTTTCCAGGGTTGAAAAATGGTTTTACGGGCTTTCTGAAGTGGAAGCGTGATGGAAGCTAATAAGGACTCTATGATTTAATTGTGCAGTTTTAAACTATCAGCTTAGGCGATTGAGGGGGCACTGCCCATAACCGCCGAGGGGAAAAAATGAAGGACAAGGATTATACCATTCCAGGTTTCGCACAGTTTGATCGCGTTTGTTCGCACCGTCATTCATCACTGCATATATGATATGCAATGTCGTAGCTACTACGCCACGAAGAGACGATTGCATAAGCAAAACTGAAAAAGTGGAGTCCTTAATCACCCCTGCGTGACAATACTAACACGAGCACCTCTCCAGGCCTTCATTCCTTAGTATTATTTTTTAATAGCTGTCCTTTTCCATCGCACGCACCAACACTCATACTGAAATATGTCATGTATCGTGTGTCTGCAGTGATTATAATGCGCATGCGCGTTCAAGCGGAACTAACCTCCACCACGACGAAAGAAACTATGCCTGACCCGAAATGGAAAACAAATATGCATTACGTTGTCATGTTGTAACATATTGAATAAATGTTCCAATAAATCCACAACTAACCATCACCATATAGATGGATGCAATCGAATATAACGCTTAAAGATACCGTCGCCTCCATGCCACACAATGATGCATCACTCCATGGGCAACAAAGTAGTTGACCCCTATACAACAGGCATCGCGTGTGGCTAACGAAGCAGTCACGCTGCCATGCATCCATTTCGAAGGAACTATAAGAAAACATCTCCAACAATCCATTGTCGTCGTAGAATTTCCTCTTGGGGGGGGGGGGGGGGTGCAAAACCTTGTTGTTGCATCTCAGTCAGGACAGGGGGAGAGCACTGGTGTAGTTTGGGTGTGGGGCAAAGCTTGAGGGAGGCAAGTGCCCCATTTGCACTCCGCTTCCGATGCCCATGCAACAATCGACCAGGAAAGCAGGCTGCGTTGATAACTAAAAGCAACAGTACATTCAAAGAAACTACGTGATTTCATTTCCAGTCATAGAAGCGGCAAGGACACTCGAAATAATCAGGCGTAAAGTAGTAAAAAAAAAGACTTTGCTTGACTGCATAGCATGCAAGTAGACAAATACAGGCAGCACACTCATCTATTGCTACGACCATCAGCGCCTTCATTTATTTAAGCATTGGCGAATCACATTCAGCCATACGCCCTACCGGTTTCATTTGGTATCGTGTTAAGTATAGTTCAAGGAGTGATTTATGGTGTCAAACCTGTGAGAGTTTAAGGCTTGACGTGAAGCATTAGCTTGTAGAAGGAGATGTGAGTGCATGGGTTATGAAAGTTAGCGCATTGATAGACATTTACTGCCGTCACTGCAGGGGGATAGGGGATATACATAAGTATTTCTTCCGTATTTCAGCGAAAAGCGCTGCCTGCGTCATGTTAATTAGACTGAAAATTTGCGCACGCAGTATACAGGCGCTAATAGACACTCATCCAACTTTGTTCGTGCGTTTAGAGAGTGTTTTTATATTTTATTTAGTCTCGCCGCAGTATGTACTGCACTTGGAGACCTTAGGATACCCGACCATAAAGACCACCACCCTGACATTTTGCTAATGAAAAAAAAAAACAATAAAATATTAAGGACGCTATGCACAAAAACGCACGTTTATGGTGTGATCCTTATAATAACATTATAATATTTATAACACAATAACAATGATATAATATAATAACATTAATAACATTTATAATTAACTGAAGCGCCATGTACTCGACTTCAGGTCGTTCTCCGACGCGCTTCTGGCCCACGGCAGAGCGCAAGCTGCGCAGAGAGGCTCAAGCGCTCACGTTGGCGCGCGCCCAACAGCCCGATGCCCTCTAGCAACGTGTGCAGGTGTCGCTGCTGCCGACGGGTCCCTGACATGCTTCGAGCTGCGCGCTCGTTCGGGCGTGACCCGCCACGGTCGCGCACGCGGCCAGAGCCCGTCGTCGCAGCGGGACAGCTCTTGTTGCTCCGCTGACGCCACTGCACTGCAGCGCGCACAGCTGTGCGCTCGGCGAGACGTAAAGCGCAGCGCAGACTGGCCGGCGCAGCGTCCTGGGAACAGTGTGACCTGCGAAGAAGAGCCAAACAACACGCGCACTCAGACATTGAAGGGCCTGCTTTCCTTTGTTATCATTTTTTTTTCTTTTTTCCCGAGCAAAGAGACACAAGTGGCACTTGTTAATCGCGGAGCACACAGCCGAATTCCCAAACATGCTTGAAGTACTTTTCATAGAATACTTGTAAGCAGGCCGCATGCTGTTGGTATTCTGTATTAATACATTTATGGGAAGCGCGAAATTGCGGCAAGGGGTCGCGAAGCCATGTCCGTGTCGCTTCGTTGTCGTCCTTCGCGGTGGAGCAGTAATGCTCGGCTCTTGACCCATATAGGCGTCGGTAGGATTGTATCTTGCGGGGGTGCAAACCCATGCTGCATCGTGGTGGGGGAGAACGCTGATGTTGCTTCGGGGCTGGTGTGTTTTTTTTAGGGGGGGGGGGGCAAGTGCCTTATTTGTACCCCCCTGCCGACGTCCATGTCTTGACCCGAATGCCGCGAATTTGATCCAGAGCGCGGCGGTCTCACTGACATGGAGGCGAAACGACGGAGACCCGTGTACTGTGTGGGTTTAGTGCACGTTAAACAACACCAGATCGTCGAAATTTCCGGAGACCTGCACTACGGCGCCTCTCACATCGTGGTTTTGGGAGGTAAAATCTCAGCTAATGCCGTAAAATGCCAAGTGAGCCACACCCCCCTCCCTTTTTTTTTCTTTTCGGGAGATAAGCACCAATTACAGTTACTGCAGGTAGTCTATACAGTAACTGTATCTAACTCTGAAGGTAACATATACAGAAACCCTAGCGCCAATAACCGAGCAAGCACCCCCCCCCCCCCCCAATGACTGCCGAAAACCGTCCTGGCATATTACCTGTGCTTCGTATCGGGCAGCTGTTTTGGCAGAAACAGTGACACGATCATTCCCTGGATGTGGCATAATCTATGCACTAGATGGTGTGGACAGTCGTGCAGCAGGAAACGAAAGCTCCTTATTGCATGATGCCGGTGTATTTGTACAGAGGCAGGGCAGGCTTGCGCATGCGTAGTCACTGCAATGCTTGATGACGTTGCACTGGTCACACTGGTTCGGAGGACGGTGGGCTGCACGCGAGGCTCTCCAGAGATAGCGATGTACCGCCGTATGGGACGAGTTCGCGCGCTTAACTGTTGAGTCTGACTCTGAATAGTCATTTGAAGAGTACGACAGTGACGAGGGGGAATAAAAGCAGCAAATAATTAACTAATTTCATGAAAAACATAAATGGACATTTTTAATATTTTTAGCGGCTTTCCCTCCACCTTCTTAAATTTCAGTCAGGAATGATGGTTACTTTTTGAGAATCTCCCAGACGATAAGCTCAATCAAGAATTTGGCGAAGCTGTAAACAAGATTCTAAAGTGTAGATTTCAGGCCGGATAAAGCTAAGCAACACGTCATTGACGTGTACCAAGCTTTCTCAATTCAGTCAAGAAAGCCAGGAACCTGCGTCTTGGAAGTTTTTTTTTTTTTTTGCAAAACACGCAAAAACCGAGTCAGCTGCTTCGAGACACTTTCCTGAAAGCAATTCGCAGCAGCCGCAGATGACATGCTTTATAAAAAAAAACGATACCCGACAATCAAAATCTGGACCCGCCATAAATATTTACTTATAAGATGGTTATACGTTTTCTGAGCTAAGATAATTATGTGATCTTTCAGCACCACGTTGAATATTTATTCTGAAAGTGCTATTCTAAAATTTCCTTCACTCACTTTCTCATTGAGACCTAAAAGAAAATGTGAAGCTGTACTTTTATGAAGAAAATGAACATACGAAGGGTAAAAACAAGAAAAAAAATATCAGTGACAGAAATTTTGAATTAGTTCTCTTTTTAATGCCAACCTTAGTTGGACGAGCGAAATTTGCGCAGAACTCTCGTTTATGTGTTGATTTCAACGTAGCGTCAATCTTCATGGATATATATTTTCCTGACTGGTGTCAACCTAAGCAGACGCTGCAATTTAAGCTGTTTAGTCGAAACAAAATCCAGTTTGTTTGTTATTGTCAGGACAGTTTTGATAGAGTTGAACGACTGTGCAACGTTGTTAATATCCTTAAAGTGTGTCGTGAATTTTTCTGAAGCTTAAGTTCATTTGAATATTGCTAAGGTACACTAGAATTCTGCGAGCGATCTGGTTAGCAAACTTGAGTTGTTACAGCGCTTGTCCTGTGGCCATTCTAACCTTGTATTTTTCCGTATGCATCCATGCCGATTGAATCAAGATTCTATGTTACAATTTCTCTATTGTGATAACCACCGTACCTTTGTACCTGACCGATGTGTAACCCTATCATCCACGTAAACTAACACTAGAGAAAAGTAGTGCAACATTTATTTATTTATTTATTTATTTATTTATTTATTTATTTATTTATTTATTTATTTATGCATTTCATAATGATCGCAGAAGCGCGAAAAAGAATAAGGTGAGTGTTCATGAAGGGAAAAAAAAGGGAGGGAGGTGTCCTTCACATTCGTAGAGCGCCGTTAAGCTTCCGTTTGTTGTATTTCATTTTGCTACCACAACTAAGCGGGCCCTGTCAGGAGAAAAGCATTTAAAACAGCCATCTATATAATGTAAAGCACCATTTACAACGCTCGCGCTGTGACAAATCTTCCTCAGTGACATCCACTGTTAAGAGGTGTCAGTGCATTCACGCGGTCGTGTGAGAGTTCCCGCTTTTTATAGTCGTCACGGTTTCTTCTTCCCCCCCCCCCCCACTCTTACCCTCCGCTATCTCAAGCTGCGGGAAATAAGATGAACGAGAGGGCTGTCGGATGTCGGAGCAACCGCACCGACAGAAGCGCACAGGAGTTAAAACGTTTTCGCCGTCAGAATCCTTCACGCGCCCTGTTTGCCCACAGGAGCGCAAGTAAATGACCGACACGCATATATCTTTGAGGCGAGAAGATGAGCGACCCAGTTCGAGGAGCTGCTATAACCTGCCGCAAAGGTGCAGGTGAGCATCTACGGTGGCAGCCGGCGCTTTGTCCGTTTTTGAACTTCGTCTGCAGTCGATCAGACATCGTCGTAGATTTCCGGCACGCCCCTGCCACGAACGGTAGGCACGGCCGCGGCTTTGCTCGTCATGCTCTTGGGCGGGAACGAGGTGCCTGTGCAGCGAGTGCTTCCTGGGTCCTGCATCTGTACCTCCATCCATACGCATCCACCAAAACCCATCTATTCATGCACACCTGTTCCATCCTCACAGATCCGCGCACTCCGGCCACCATAGAACAGGCATTGATGTAGTTTGCGCGTCTGCACCGCTTGCTTATCTCTCATACGTTAGCTTGGCACGGTTTCTTTTGTTCGTTTGTATCGACCCCCTTCTTCACAGCGAAGCTGTCCTTGTGGATCCTGTCCCGTCGTCGTCGTAGTAGTAGTAGTAGTGGTAGTAGTGGTAGTAGTAGTAATTGCTGGTAATGGTAATGGTGGCAGTAGTAGGCGTCACAACGGTCACGTGATCAAAGTGGTAATGCACATATAAAGAAATAAATAAAAAATGATGATGATGCCATACTTGTGTAAGCGTCTGTATTTTAAGTCTCGCAGTGGATTTACGACACCCCGTGATCTCGCTGTAGACACTCCCATAAACCCACACTCGCTCGCTTACAGCTTCGCTGTCCGACGGTTCTCACGGCTTAAACATGCCTCAGATTTCTCTTTCTTTTTTTTACGCTATACAAAAGCTCGGCGTAAAAACTGCAGGCGTTTGCTTCCATACCGTTTGTAGGATTTACAGCCCATATTGCTGGTTCGCTATAAACTGCTCGCTGTCGAACGAGTGCCCGATGGCATAGCCTTCCTGTTAGGCGGCCCTTGCGCCCACTTGTCTGACAAACGGATTGTACCAAGACACCCGCTGTTTTTTGCATATAGCGTCCATACGGCGTTGCATTGTTGCTCTATTTCCGGCGGTCATGGCGCGGCATTTTGATGGGATAGAGTTGCAAGAAAACGCACGTGCATTTAGCCTTAGGCGTGTGTTAAAAGACCCCGAGGAATCTAAATGATTTGATTGATTGATATGTGGGGTTTAACGTCCCAAAACCACCATATGATTATGAGAGACGCCGTAGTGGAGGGCTCCGGAAATTTCGACCACCTGGGGTTCTTTAACGTGCACCCAAATCTGAGTACACGGGCCTACAACATTTCCGCCTCCATCGGAAATGCAGCCGGGATTTGAACCCGCGACCTGCGGGTCTGCAGCCGAGTACCTTAGCCACTAGACCACCGCGGCGGGGCAATCTAAATGATTTCGGAGTCCACTAATACGGTGTGCTTCATAATCACATCGTGGTTCTAGTACACCCCATGATTTTATTCTTTAACACGGAAACGGGCACCGTCGTCTGAATAACTGCAATAAACTCAGCATACAATGTATGTGCTTTCGATGGTCTTTCTTCACATATTTCCCTCTACTACTTCTACAATACTAAAATCACCGACTCTTGCCGCTATAAAATGCTTGATAAGCGAAAAAACACTAAAAAAATAAAGCGCGAGTGTTCCTGCCCTAATCACGGTGAGGCACAGATTGCGACGTCATCTACTATAGGGCTTACGAAGTTTCTAATCGGTAAATATGAAGTAGTACATTGTCTTCTGAGAGGGCTAGAGACTATGTACCAAACTTTGCACGGCCAAATTTTGCTTTTTTTTTTCAACCTCTGGGCTCTGCATTGTGACACTGCTGTCGCGGGCGGAAAACTCCTTTGTGCGTTGCTTGTTGCTAAATTGCGAACACGGAAAGAGTGCTTTCGTAAAAGTTGTCAGTGCCCTGTTTTGTCCTCGAAAAGCACCAGTTAATGTAACTGAAAGCATGCTCGAAAGGTATTACATCTTTTGAGGTAAAGAATGCATAATGACACTCTTATGTGCAAGCATAATTACTCATGAAGCACGCCATGTCGTTATAGGAATGCAGTGTACAAGATCTGCTTCAGAATACGTGCGC